GTGTACAGCTTATGTCAACAACACAAAGTATGTGGTCCACACAACATATAGAATAGGACCTGGCTCATTGCACCACCCCCACTCAACAGTGGGCTTACCCAAATTCTTCTTCCGCTCTTCGTAACGCTCTTTCAGCAATCGTTCCAGCGACAACCCGCTTGCTCCAGATAAGATCTCTATCACCATTAAACATGGATAATGGTTCAAAGCCACGTCATTCAGCGCATTTGGCCTATCGTGGATTTGATCGTCACGACGACCTTTACGAAAGGCGTGGTAATCCCACCCGAGAGTTCGACAAACTCTTTCGTTGAATGGGTAATCGAATGATGATTCGAATCGCGTATTTGAGTGATCACTCGTGCTGAAGGTGGACCACAAAGCCTCACGTATGTTCCGTACATCCAGTATTCCAATCTAGATTCCATACATAAAATAGACACTCGATTCTGAGCATGGGTCCATGCGACCAAGTCCGTTGACCTTCACTGTTTGCAAAGCGCAAGCATCGCTGCTGACTTTTTGAAGGTACGCGATATGCGCTTTTTGATTTGTGCATTTAACAGCGCAGAATTTGACTTACTCCGATATTGAGGGTGCTCGTGTAGCACGCTTGGTCGTCAGTCGGCTTGACGAGATAACATAAGGAGAAGAGGAAGGGACAGCTACCCTAAGCAGAGTCCGACTTTGGACCCGCATCGAACGCGCAAGCGATACTGGGAATACAAGTACGAGGCTCCCACATAATTTCGCTCGCTGGATTTCTTACCATTTCACAAAGCGCTCCTGCCGACCGCGTAGTTCTTCTCGGCCACCACGCTCTGGACGTGGTAGTATCGATTTTCTTGTCGATCTAGAAGAGGGAAAGGTGCCCGGAGCGGGCGTTCCCTCTGTTTCTTCAGTGGCTGGTCCACAGTCCTCGTCCGCCTTGGAACTGCAGCTGACGAAGGTGGGGAAGCTTTTCTCGTTAATGAACCAGCGGCTTATCGAGGTGACCGATCGAGTGTCGTCGATGCGACAAACGCGTGAACGATAGTCGAGATATTGTTCGCGAAGCTCGCAACTTCGCATGGCCCATCAATTGATGCAGGCTCTGTAAGCTCTTCCGCTGGCTGATCCTGTTGATGATGCGGGGTCTCCTGCCTAGCGATCTCGCTCTATTTTGGGTGTTTTCGATTATTCCCGTCATTCTGAGGGCGATGCTGAGGCGACGACGCCAATGAGTCCGACCTTCGACCCTCGTGAATGAGACTGCATTATATCCAGATTGGAAATCGCGTCGTCGCGATGGTAGGTCTTGAGGTAGAACTTTGGATGTGTCTTAAACCAGCTTGGCAGGTCGATAGTGTAAGGACTACCACGGAATGACACTACTTAAAATAGATCTATGAAGCGAGGTAACAGCTTCGAACATCCCAAGCTTGAGACTCCCGTCGGATATTGCGCATTCGCCATTGCATCTGGCACTCGTGCAATCACATTTACACGACTCATGATGAATGAGTTGAGGGCGTCCTTGTACTTGCGCTTCGCAATTGCATCATTAATTTGTATCAATTAAAAAGGAAACGATTTGCCGAGCTCCTCTCCTACTTGCATCAGAGACACCACCCATCGTACAAAGTGATATTTGCGGATGTCACAAGTCATTCATAAAAAATGACCCAAACCCAGTAAATGAATGGACTGCGTTTTTTGTAAAAAACTCAACTAATGGTGATAACCAACTCTATTCTGGGGCGGTCGCACAGAAATTTCGCAACACATCGTCAACTACTCCGTTGGCACGTTTTGTTTCACCATCGGTCTCTAGGTGTACATATCAAAGCGAGCGCCAAAAATTCGGAACAGATTTTCTCAAAAGCCGCTTGTGAATCGTGTAACACGATCAAAGACGACGGCATCTGGCAACCCTGATTGCGGAAGACTTAATCAATAAATAATCTAGCTGAACTTTCGGTATCGATGGAATCGCACCACGGAGCGATGTGAACTATCTTGCTGAGTCGGTCAACAAAGACTAGCACACCATTGTGACCGTCAGTATTCTCGGAGAAGCCGAAAATAAACTTGAGACCGATTGACTTGCAACAGTCAGTTGCACCATTGATTGTATCAATTAAAAAGGAAACGATTTGCCGAGCTCCTCCCCTACTTACAAAGAGACACCACCCATCGCACAAAGTGGTATTTGCGGATGTCACAAGTCATTCATAGAAAACGGCCTTGACCCAGTAAATGAATGGACTGAGTCGTTTATAGAAAACTCAACTAATGGCGATAACCAACTCCATTCTGGGGGGTTTCGCACAGAATTTTCGCAACACATCGCCAAATACTCCGTTGGCACGTTCTGTTTCACCATCGGTCTCTAGGTTTACATATCCAAGCGAGCGCCAAGAATTCGGAACGGATTTTCTCGAAAGCCACTTGTGAATCATGTAACACGATCAAAGACGATGGCATCTGCCAACCCTTGATTGCGGAAGACGTGATCAATGAACAATCTAGCTGGAATTTCGGTACCGATGGAATCGCTACACGGAGCGATGCGAACTATCTTGCTGAGTCGGTCAACAAAGACTAGCACGCCATTGTGACCGTCAGTATTCTCGGAGAAGCCGAAAACAAACACGAGACCGATTAACAGTCAGTTGGAATAGGAAGGTTCTGCAGTGGTACTTGCGTGTGCCTTGCGCTGATTACGTGCTGACAGACATCGCACGTCTTCACGTATCGTGCCACCCACTCTTACATGTTGGAGCCTCCAAAGTTGGGTACTGAGAGACTGGCCGATCTTCGCACGGCCAAAGTGACCGGTCATCGGTGTATCATTCTCCTCGTACACTATCTTGTACTTTAAATCATTGCTGTGGGACCACAATCCGTCGCTCGTCGTCGTGTGCAACTTAATAGTGAAGGGGACCATCCATCCATGCATAAAGATGCATCCTTGATTCCAGAGAGCTTGTCATGAATTATAAATCACTCGATGATAATGCTCTGATGATTAGATCACACTGTTTATAACAAACGCTCGGCATACATATCGAATACATCGCTTTCAATATATATGATATGAGCTAGCTCATCATCAGGACGACATGACAAAGCGTCCGCCAGCACGTTCGGTTTCCTGGCTTATTTGCGACCGTAAAGTTGTAATCTTTGAACAATGACAACCATCGGGCCATTCGTTGTGACGAGTGAGGCGACAGAACTGCATAACGCACGCTTGCGTGATCCGTGTAGACGACAAACGGAGTTGAACTCACAAAGTAAACGCGAGACTTTACCAGAGCATATTTTCGTTGCTAGAAGCTCCTTGACGTGAACGGGCGTCCGCCGTCGCGATTGAAACGTCACGACACGATCGTGTCCTTCTGAGTCTTTTTGCAATCATGCACAACCGACTGCGAGCTCAGAAGCGTCACACATATATATACGGCTTCGTATCATCTGATAAAGCAAGTAATGGTGTTTTCATCAAGCTGCGCTTGTTTCGAGTGAATGCTTCTTCACAAGTGGTTGACCACTCCCCTAGTACGTTCATCTTCAACAAGTTTGTTAGCGGGCATACCATTCCGCGTACTTTGGTGAGAAGAGATACAGGTAATTAGACAAACCAACTCATTTTCTAAGATTCTTTTCTTTCATGCCATTGGCTACACCATGATTGCTTTGACCTTCTCGGGGTCGACACGAACACCCTTTTCACAAACATAACAACCGAGCACCTAAACTTCGTTAGCACCGGAAATACACTTTGCAAGATTCGATTACAATTGCACGAAGGGGCGCCAAGTGCACTACTACAGCAGATCTGCCATCTTCGTTCTTCAAATACACGAAAATATCGTAAAAAGGTTTGTGTGAAGCGTCGCAGTGGTCGGAATAGATGGGAGAGCAATCGAATGAACGTTGCTGG